TAATGAAGTCATTTTTGTTTCCATTCCAGGCTACGGTCACATAGCACCCATGACGATTCATGGTCAGGTGATCTGTATAATGTACGCACTTATTGGGATACCACTTATGCTACTGGTTCTAACAAATGTTGGTAGAGTTCTTGCAAATACAGCTAGACTCCTCTTTAGGATGTACTCTAGTCAACTATGCAAGAAAGTTCGATGCCAGGACAGACGAAGCCAGCAAAGAAGAGCAAGCAAAAGAAAGAAATCTATACAAAGTTTGTACATTTTTTAAAATTATTAATAGAACTTATAATAGTGCCCATATCCATTTCAAACAGCTGCTCAAGGTGCTTTTTTCCCCTGGTCATTTGAAAGCTGCTTTTTACTTAATGAACTGATGTTATATCAGGAAGGTAATAAATACTTTAGTTTAATATCTCGTTCTATAGCGGTACATTAAAATTTCAGCCTGTTTTTAATCCTTCTCGGTCAGTTGAAATGTAAAAAGTTACTACAATCTCCATCACTGATTGGCTGTTCCACCTAATACACTCCTGAGTTTGTAATTTTTGAATAATATAGCATTAGGTACAGTACATATTCTGTACATCAACATCAGCATGTTTGTACTGGCGAACGGTATTTTTCATTTGCCGCTCCGAAATTATGCAACTCTTTTCCACCTAATCTTAGATCAACTTTTGGTATTACATTCAAGACCCTCCTCAGGACTAAAACCTATCTCTTTAATCAATAATTCTTATATCTTTCAGCACCAGTGACAAATGATTTTTGTAACAGGCGCTATACAAATTATCTATGTAATTATTGGCTTTTCTCAGCAGTACTGGGTAAAGCCATTGTTTTTGTTGTGATTTTTTTTTCTTGCATATTTTTCATATCTTTTTGCACTGTTTTTTTCTGGTGGTCACTTTGTTCACTTCCCATACTTAGAATTGTTCCTTGCTTTTCCGAAGCATAGGCCATAATATCAAGGATGTGCTTCCTATTATAGTGTCAATCTATGGTGGGGTGTGCGTGTGAGGACCAATTTAAGTCAACAGTCTACACATATTTCATAAACCGGTCAATTGATGTGAATGAAACTTATGGGAAAGTTTAATCAAGTTACAAGGAAGAAATTTTCATGTGTTAGTGACGATCCAGTGAAGGGTGTAAATTTGAGGACCCAGCCTAAATATCTCTTTAAAAAAAAACCAATGGCTCTAAATGAAACATATTCTATAATACTTTGTAAAGGTCTTGTAAAAAATGATTAAATTTTTGTGATGATCCACAGTATGGTGTGGAACTGAGGACCATTCAATGTAAAACAGACCACACCACATTTCGATCAACTGATCTGAATGAAACATTCGGAAAAAGTTTAACCAAGTTACAAGCAATTATTATGTGCTGGCGATGAATTAGTCAAGGGTGTATTCAAAATTCAAAATTCTTTATTCAATCTACACAATCAGTAGCAGCCGAAGCTGAATTGTAGCATTGTATTTAAAAGCTTTCCTACCAAATATAATACAATTTAAAATACTGTACATAGAAATAAAGACCATTACAGGAAAACAATTACAAGAAGCATAATGAAAAACATTTACAATAAAAGTAATCATTATTATTAATATTATTATTATTATTATTATTATTATTATTAAACAGATGGAAAAACACACAAAAAACAAAAAGGCAAAACTACAATCACAGCAAAACAGCAACAAATTAGGGGAATAAAACAGGAAAAATTGAACATTACCAGTGAAATTGGAAGGAAAGTTAACAGCAAAAAACATCAAGATTCTAAGAGCCTGGTCAAAGCTGGAATTGCACTGTTGTTATATCGTTCTATATTAGTGCGTCTCTTTTCTACGATTATTTCTAAGATGCATGGTGTGAGTGGACAAATTTGGTACAAACCATTTACTAAACCTCTCAGATTTAGGACATGAGTCAGGAAATTGTTTGCAGATTACTAATCTTCTATCACTAAGTCGGACTTTTATCTAGATACAGATCCACTTAACTAGTTAAAAGTTTGACGTGAACCAGTCAATTATAGCTAGATAAAGGCTTAAGTCACTTAAAGTTAAGTGACTTAACTTTACTAGAATAACAGTAACTTGCTTAATGGTAAAGTCGGCTCGGATTACAAGGACACGATTACGTAACGTAGGTATCTAAGCCAGCGTTGTTGTGTTGTACCACCATTATCATCCTCTCGCTGGCAACAGCTTACTCCAACAATGCTAACAACAGCAGCTAAGTAGTCTCATTAGTCTGGTTTTCAGAAATTATTTTTAATATTATGGGTAAAAACCCAGCAAACGTCCGTTTTACGATGTTTGCTGAGTTATATTACAAATATTACAAATGACCTTTGCCCTTTGCATCGTCGACCAAGTATTAATGTTAGAAGTCCGATTGCATACGTTTTTCAAAGTGATAATGTATATTTTTCATAATAATAAATTCAGATTTGTTGTATTTATTTATTGACAATTCAATCTTTTCAATTTCTGCTATAATAGTCGCTATTAATGGCAGTTACAATGAACTACCACCAACATGCAGTCGTTAAAATGAGCGCACATCTTTACGATGACGAAATAAAAAAGTTTGTTGAAGTTAGCAACTTATTTGACACCGCGAAGCTAGATTTTCGCGAAGTGAATGTAAACAACACAATTCAGCGTTCTAAAAACTGAAAAAAAACCAAAACATAAAACAAAAAACAAACAGAAAGGTCTATACAGACATTTTAATGAGGAATAAAACAATATTTTGTTAAATTGGAGAATGCTAGCGATTAAATTAATTTAGTTTTTATCGAAGGTAAGTTGAGCTAGGGCCTAGCAGTAGTCTATTACTATAATTGCAGTAGATCACGCTGCTGCACTCTCGGTTGGTTCGTACTACCTGGTCGCCTATATATCAATGGCAGAGGATAGCTAGGCTAAGTAGTGGAAACTGACACCTGATCTACAGTAGGTTACGAATTTGTCAATTTTTTTACGAATACCTCTTGGTACTAGAGGTTCGTAAAATACAGTAGACGTTATTTTTAAACAAGCTTTTCCACCATGTGATGTCGACGGCCTTGAAGCTGGCTGGCTGTTTATCTGGCTCTAACTTGGCATCGAATGCAACTAGGGAAAAATCGTATCATATTTCAAGATTTAGATAAGTGACTTAACTTTGGACGTGAACCAGGCTTGTGTATCGAGCTACTATGATGATAAGGGATCCCTAAGATCATCTTAACTGCCCTTTTCTGAAGAGATTCAATTGATGCAATATGTTCTGAGAAAGACAAAATGCCATAAGGGTATACAGTATTCAACACATAGAATTACTAGTATCACAACCTTTGTAAATGTTGTCCAACATTTCAATCATATAATGGCAAGTAGACATTCCACTAATTCAACCAAACTGGTAAGGGTCAATATTAGGATGAATATCTGCTATAGACATTCACTAATAAATTCTTCCGTCTGCAATTTTAGCTAATTGAGCAGTAAGAGATATGGGCCTAAAATTATCAATAATTGCAGGTGCTCCCAGCCTTAGGGAATGCAACAATGGTTGCATCCTTTCACTGTTGAAGGACAATACCTTCTTTAAAAGAGGTACTGTATTAAGAATATCAGTAATAGGGGGACTTAATTCACATGCAAAGTCTTTGATGATTTTATTTGGAACATTGTCTGGCCCTATAGATTTGTTGATAGCGAACTTTGAGAGTTTTTTGTACACATCACACAGGTTAACTTCCAGTGGACGGTTTGTGGGCCTAAAACATGCAATTTGGTGAAGGTCAAACATTGCCCTGTTTCGGCAAATTTCTGGTTGATAGCCTCTGCAATCATACGGAAGTTGGATGGAGGGATTCCTGGTACACGTATTTGCGGTGATTGCTTCAGTTTATTTGCGATCATTTGAATGCCCTTGTGCCACTTGGACGAGTCGTTCTGTTTCAGCATTTCTATGCAATCCCTATAAAACTGAATCCTCTCAGTTTTTGCTATTTCAATGATATTTTGTCTAAGTGATTTTTTCCACCTGGTTGATTTTCCTTCAGTGTAAAAGACTTTTTGCCGTAACGCAATCGCTTCCTTAAAAGCACCATTTAGCCAATTATATTAAAATATACTAGTAGATTCAAGTAGTTCTTAGTAGAAGTATTCTACTCTTAGTAGGCTTAATAGGCTGGTAGTAGATTTTCTTATCTTGACTACTAAGGATTTTAAGATCAATTTTATGGCTACATCCTGACTACACAAAATATATAGTTGATAAATAGTTACTGTCTATAATTAGCGACACAAGTAGTTTTATTATAGTTGTTCAATTCAATTCAATTCAATTCAATTTATTATATCATTTGCAACGCATACATTACATCACATAGAAAATATTGTGGCTCTTTTTAACATGGACCAACGTCCAATTCGGCAAACAATGAACAAAGGGAAAAACAGTGAATTATCAGAGCAACGGACACAATGAAATGCTATTGTATTGCATTGAGGGCCCGGATGGCTGACGGAAAGAAACTCTTTTGGAACCTGCTCGTTCGAGCATAAATTGACCGATATCGACGAGAACATTATAGGCTATATCCTGATTACCTATGTGATCATCTTAATAATTATAAATGGATCCACAATTACTATTATATATATCTGTCTCTTATACACATCTAGATGTGTATAAGAGACAGCAACAATGCTGTGTGAAACAATGGCTGGATCTCGGTGGAGATACAAAAATGATAAGCAACAGCTAAAAAGTAAACGTAAGTAAACAGCCAGAAATAGAACCAGAGCTTTCGGACAACACTAGTCCTTCCCTGTCTCTTATACACATCGAGATGTGGATAAGAGACAGGGCCTAGATACTGCAATATTGTCTCTGGTGTAGTTACAGGAAAACATGTAAGACTGAATATATCACAGAAATAATTTAGGCAAGTATTGTCGCGATTCAGATTTCCTAGGATTAATGTGTATTTGTCAGGATACCACGCTAAATAATGGAAGTCCGACGCAACTTGTGTGGGTGATAAAATTCTTTATTCCTTGACTATGACGTCAAATCAGTGGACATCAGAATGGTGAAACGTGAATCAAATTATATACAAGACAAAGTAAGACAAGACCAGACCCCTGTAGATAAAAGGGGGAAGTAAACAAACAAAATTCATTACATCATTAATGATGCAGATCTTAACTATTAACTTCAGTTCACTGCTTAAACCTTTATAATCAACAAACATAATATATCAGAACCATATAATTGCATAAAGTACATCATCATCAAGTATAAAGTAAATAATGTAAATAACAAAATATCAAAGATCATCATAGCAAAACAACAATATATCAAGGATTCATTATCATGGCAATCATATAATATAGCATTCGGCTATCCTGACTTACCCAATCTTAGGTCATATACAAGTTTCTCAACAACTCTCTTAAACTCGTTACACCGTAACTGTTCCTTCTATACAGTAGGCTATAATCAAAAGAGGTTCTAATTACTTATCTAATAATTGACAACTGCAATTTGTTATAATGTACTTCATAAATTAAAACATATTGTATATCGTAACCTCAAGATCTATGGGTGTCTCCATCTAAGTTTACAAAGAAGGCACCAACTGTATCTAGCATCAAGTAATAATCTAAAGTTCTGATTATCATCAAATCAAATCCTGTAGTTGTATTATACAATATAATATACACCAGTTATTGTATCTTTCAAAAGAGTAGTGTAAGTCTACAATGCTTCTGTTCCCTAATATTCTATCAGATTATCAATAGGTAACCTTAACCAAATACAGACACAGGGTCTGTAATTGTAATAAATACTACTACACAATATATCAATAATAATCTACATCATGGTAAATATCGTTCTGTAACTAAAGTGTTAACAATACAATTATATAACGTACCTTTCTTCGAATTTTGATTGCTTTTATACCCGGAGATCTCAGCTCCCTCATTACCATTAGAACATTGTGTTGGTAATGCCATAGAGAAAATTATTTTCTCTATGGTAATGCCTTCCTACTCAAGCTACCCAAGCTAAACTCAAGCCAAAATGACTTTTAACTTAATCACTTCTTAATTATCATTACGCCTTAGTGATTAAATAATAAGGACTATTTAAATGTAGCTCCGTAATATATGCAAATGTGGTGTTTAACCCAAGCATACCCAATATAGTTTATATTATATAATCATACCTCAGCCAACTGGCTCTAATAATTTGCATGATAAAGGACTTGGCTACTAAGTAAGTGTTTAACTGCTGTAAAATGGCGATATATAGATATGTTGTAATATATGGCTACAATACATATATTTTTATTTCCCACATATACAATCATCATTATCATTCGTTACAAAATTGTGACTATCATAATTACTTCGGATGTTTTCCACAAACCTATTTGTTCTAAAAACGTTACTCTCATGCATATTCAAATCCATTTTACCTAAATTTTCCCAGTATTGTTTAACCGTTTGATTTATAACTTTCTTGTCGGACACAACAGTATTAGATTCAGGGACCCTAATACAGTCAACAAATTTGTTATTACAATTACCTTTAGATCCTCTTAGATTTTTCCAAAAATCTGCATATGAGGGGCCACCTTTGTTGGCAATATTTATGGACCTTTTAACATTCTTCTCAAGAATCTTTTGTTTAATGAGAGACTTTTCATAAAGACGCTTCTGTTGATATAATTGCCAAAGGTGATTACTTTTAACCTCATCTTGGTCGTTCTTTTTTTTTTATACTGCCTATGGAGCCTAGCGGCATTTTTTCTTTCTTTGATAGCAGCATGTACTTGTTTATCAAACCATGGTTTCGATTACTTGTTAACTCTTTATTCCCAATACCATCAGTAGCTGCAGTAATAACAATGTTTTTCCAGGAGTCCCAGAGAGTATTATCATTATCAAATGAATTAACATCCCAGTTAGTAAATTTATCCCTCAAAATATCATGATAATATGTGAAATCTTGTTCTTTTTGTATGTCCCAAATTATCTTATTAGAATGCTGAGCGATGACATGCTTGTACTGGCTATTAAGTGACAATAAAAGAATGTTATGGTCACTACCTAAGCTATGTTTTCTTTCTTCGTCAATTAGTAATTCAATAACATAATTCATTAAGTTTTTAGAGCATAGAATGTAATCGATTGAGCTTTGTTTATTAGCCCTAAACCAGGTTATTTTTCCATTACAGAAAGAGGATGAATTGAGAATAATCAGGTTAGAATTATCTCTAAAATCTAACAACCTTTCACCATTGGCAATTACATGACCTATTCTTGCATTAAAATCCCCCATTATCATAATAAATGGATCATCATTCGCATTAAAATTTTCAATTTGGATAATTTCAGATAGTAATTGGTTATAGAGTTCCTCTGTAAGTTCTACATTACACCCCTCAACAGGGAAATAAACAACTGCAATGTACATAGGTTTATTATTTTTAAAGCATACTTTGACCCATAACCTTTCGTAGTTATCGAACATACAGTCAAGTGCATTATCATCTAGTATTGTGATGTTATTTGAAATATAAATACCCAACCCCCCCCCCACCTTTACCAACTCTATTTCTACCAATCCAGTGATAATTATCAATATCCACTGCAATTTCATTTTTAAGAAAGGTTTCTGCTATGCCAAAAATTTGAATATTATCATCATTTAAGAATTTTGGAATTTCAAATAACTTAGGACGAAGTCTATTTACATTATTAAATGCAATTTTGATATCAGCCATTTTATCATTATCTTTTTTACCCGTATTACACTTTTTACCTCCACGTCTGTGCCGATGTCGAATTTGTTTCACATAAGGACTATGCTCTGTTTTTTCAGCATGAAGATTAATTATGCTAGAACCATTATCAATTTTATCAGTCAAGACATTGTACCTAGTAACAGAAGAGAGTTCTTTGTCGGAAGAATGTTCTGTATTGTAGACGAAATCCTATTTGGCCCGGTATAGTGTGGGTTCAAATTCGTCGTGATTGTAATATTGTGAGTTGTGTCTAGTTGATGGTGACTGTCGGTTCCAGTTCCCCGACGGTGTATGATGCTTGTTTGTTGTGTTCCGTCGGTTCCAATCCCCAGAGGATGTACGATGTGGGTTGAAGCTCTCTGAAATCTTGTGTCCATTGCTGGTGTTATATACAGGTCTGTAGCGATAGCATTCCCATGAGTTGTGGTTAAGCATACCACATTGCGCACAATGTATCCGATGGTTATTACTTCGCCGGCGATGCCTTTTGTTAGGTTGTGCTGAACCAGATTTTGTCAGACGTGTGTTAGATGCTGGAACAATTTGGTGTACAGCATTTATATTGTGTAGAAGTGTACGTGTTCCCTGCTTTGTGAGATGCAAACCTTCTTTGTTGAGATTGGTTCGGACAATTTCTCCATTTCTCAAAAGCAGCGACTCATCATTGTCGACAAGAAAGCAGTTTTCAGTGTTCTTTGCTATGGTACGAATTGATTCATTAATCTTGACCATGCACGCAGTTGGCAATCTGAGTTGTCTAACTGGGGACAAACAGTAGACAAAACAATCTTAGATGCGGGACATTTTTCCTTAATGTCCTTAACCATGCTGTTGTAATTTGTAATACCGTCTTCTAGTTTCTCGTTTGATGAACAGTTATTTGTTCCAACATGGAGTATGACAGCTTCTAATTTATTTGAATTTAGTCTGTCATCTAATTGCCTATTTTGGAAGCGGAGGTAGTTGGTATTTGTTGTTTTTGTGCATTAACTCCAGAAGAAGTTGTTGTGTGATGTTGATGTGGAGCAGCATTTCTTAATGAATCTTCTAGACTCCCTATTTTTACCACTTGTTCACTGATAATATTAGATAATGAAGAAATCTCTTTATTTAGATCCATTATCATTGATTCATGGTCCGAGTTAAGTTGTAGGAGTGTTTTAATTGTCCGAGGAATATCCTTACACAATGGGCACAACCATACCTTTGGATTTGATGCTGGTTTAATACTCAGACAAAGTCTGTGATAACGTTCCTGACATAAGGCACATTCTAGCGGTTTTCCTTTATCCATATGACCAAGTTGACAAGTAGCTAAACATTGGATTCTCGACATTGTCACTTGGATTGAACTGGAAGCTGAACTGTTATCTATGTTACTACTTACCTCCAGTACTCGTTGAAGGCATATCTTCTTCAATGGTTGGCACATTCATGATGTTACTAATACTAGCCGGTTTAACCATAGTTTGTTGATTTGGCGAACATAGATTAGTAGCCATGTGTATCAGATCTTCTGTTAAGCTATGCTAGATAAGCTAAATATACCTCTCCGAGTAGCAGACCAGCCCTACTGTAGGCCTAGGCCAGTAAAGCAGTTAGCGTGGGTAGTGGCTCGTCGCCTTCGAAAATGGCGGTATTCTAAACAAAGGGCCTCTAGCTAGACTAGGTAGTCTTACCTCCGTTCAAAGATTTTATAGAAGTTATTGATGAATATTGTGATGATTTTGCGTTGGTTTCGCTGATCCCGCTTAATCACAACGTTGGCCTTCACTAGATGAACAAACTTTAGTATATTTTAATACATACTTCACAAATTATAAGCGATTTAATGTAATTTTTTCCCGAGCGGTTATTAGACGCGTCCGCGTCTAAAAAAAAAAAAAAATTAGCAGACTTAGATAGACATTAAAGTTATTGGAACCTCATACATTCTACTAATCATTTATATGTTCAATTATATGTTAAATTGGCGAGGATGTAGTATTTCCTTGAATTCTGCTATTGAATATTTGTTAAAAATCAATAATTACATTACCTTAGCCCCGTCCCTTAATTTGTTACGTGCGCGAACGAAGATTGAGTGTGACGTCAGACTTGTCCCACGGTGTACTATACCGCTCACGCACGCTGTGAAGTTTTTGTAACCTTTTTTTTTTCGGCGCGACGAGCGAAACTGGTAAATCATTCTCTCAATTTTCGTTCAGTGTCAACAATGGCTTCTATAACGCCGTATAAGTTCGAAACATACTGTACTGATGATGATAGCAGCAGCAATGAAGAAGAGGCAGGAGGAGAGAACAACAACAATGAAGAAGAACCAATACCCATTGGCAAGTAAAACATAGGAATTCGATCCAACAAGTCAACTCGGCCACAGTCAACTCGGCCACAAGTCAACTCGGCCACAAGTCAACTCGGCCACAAGTTAACTCGGCCACAAGTCAACTCGGCCACAAAAAGTTTGGCTACAGTNNAAGTCAACTCGGCCACAAGTCATCTCGGCCACAAATCAACTCGGCCACAAGTCAACTCGGCCACAAGTCAACTCGGCCACAAGTCATTTACTGGTACTACATTGTACTAATTGTTATTATTATTGCTCTTATTATTGTTGTCATTGTTGTTATTATTATTGTTGTTTTTTTTACCATTAGTTTTAATATTAATTATTAGTCTTAGCATTAACATTATATATTGTTCAAATTTTTGCTGATATTATTATTATTACACATATATATAGTACATATATTTATAGTACCATATAAATAATAAATAATTTTTTATTTTTTATTATTATTATTATTCATATTATTATTTATTAGTTTTAGTATTATAATTTTAATAATAGTAATTTAAAAAGTTGTTGTTATTGGCGTTTTCTTAGTATTTTTCTTATATTATTATTATTATTATTATTAATATTATTGTTGTTGCTG